TACAGCTGAACCCCTGTCTGATATGAATGGCTTGTTTTGGGCCTTGAATGGAGGTGAGGAGGGAGGTGTAGGGGCAGATGTAGCACTTCCTGCAGTTGCAGGGAAAGGTGCTGGATGTGGTGGGGTTAGTGGGGAATGTGGAGCGGACAAGGGAGTCATGGAGAGAGTGGTCCCTACGAAAGGCAGATAGGGGTGGGAAGGAAATATCTCTTTGGTCGTGGGGTCGGATTGTAGGTGGCGGAAGTGGCAGAGAATGATATGCTGGATGCGGAGGTTGGTGGGGTGATGTGTGAAGACAAGGGGGGTTCTGGCTTCATTTTTGTTGTGTGGGGGTGGAGAGGGTGTGAGGGCAGAAGTGTGGGAAATGCAACAGATGCGGTTGAGGGCATTTTCGATCACTGGAGGGGGGAAATTACAGTCGTTGAAATAGGAAGACATCTGGGACGTTCGGGAGTGGAACGCTCCATCTTGGAAACAGACGCGGTGGTGGCGGAGGAATTGGGAGTAAGGGATTGCATTCTTGCAGGAGGGTGGGTGAGGGGACATATAGTCCAGGTAGCTGTGGGAATCGATGGGCTTGAAGTAGATGTCAGTTTTGAGGCGGTCACCAGAGATGGAGACAGAGGACCAGGAAGAAGAGGGAGGTATTGGAGATAGTCCAGATGAATTTGAGGTTGGGGTGAAAGGTGTTAGTAAAGTTGATGAACTGTTCAAGCTCCTCATGGGAGCACAAGGCAGTGCCGACACAGTCATGGCCATCCTCTTAGTCTGTAGGAAGTGGGAGGAGTTAAAGTAGAAGTTGTTCAGAGTATTCACTTCTAATCATAATCCAGAGATCATTGCCAGGAGTATGACTGTTTGCAAGGAGAGGAAGGTGATATTGCTCTGGACCAAAGCATGCATCAACACTCACAATTTAAACAACCATGCCAAGGATGTCACTTGCTTGTGGAACCATATAAAGGAATTTCACACTCTCAGAAAAGGACAAAAACTGGTGTTAGAAATTTATTAAAATAAAACTTCACTTATCTGAAATGTAACAGTAAATCATTCAAAAATAGTTTAGGTTCTTCTGCAGCAAAACATTTTACACAATTTTAAGAGCACAGCTGTCCAGTGGCAAAGCAACGGTTTGTGCCTTCACTTCTCACAATACACGTCAAGTGTCATAGTCATACAGCACAGAAACAGATCCTTCAGCCTAACTCATCCACACTAACCAGGTTTCCTAAACTGAACTAGTCCTGCTTGAATGTATTTGACCCATATTCCTCTAATCCTTTCCTTTTCATGTACCTGTCCAAATGTCTCAAACGTAATTGTACCCACCGCCATCATTTCCTCAGGCAGTTCATTCCATATATGCACCACCCTCTGTGCAATAAGTTCCCGTTCAGGTCTCTTTTAAATCTTTCCGCTCCCACCTTAAACCTATGCTCTCTAGTTTTGGACTCCCCTTTCCTAGGGAAAAGCTGTTCTCCTAATCTATGCCCCTCATGACTTTATAAACCTCTATAAGGTCACCACTCAGCCTCCTACACTCCAGGGAAACAAGTCCAGCCTATTCAGCCTCTCCTTAAGCAAACTTTCCAGTCTCGGTAACATCCTTGTAAGTCTTCTTCGCCCCCTTTCCAGTTTAATAACATCCTTCCTATAGCAGGGCAACCAGAGTTGTACGCAGTACTCCAACGTGGCCTTACCAATGTTTTGTGTGAACAAAAGAACAGCTGTAGGCCATTCAGCTCCTTCAGCCTTTCTGGCATTCAATGAAATCCTAACTGATTGAAACTCCATTCATCCACCTTAACTCTATATGAAGAGTCCCTCGAATTTATTTTTGTAGTGCACAGAAGCTGTAAGTTCACACTTTTTAAGTTTGTCTGCATGGCCAATGCACAACTGCTAAGTTAAAGGATCACATTACAAGGTCCATGCAAGAGCTTCTAGGTTGCTGCCCAACCAAATGGCCTACATGGAACATTGCCCAATATCCTTTAATACCACTGAATAGCAAAAATTTATTGATCGTTTTAATTTATTTTAAATGATTACCTTCAGTTAATATCTAAAGCTTTCTGGGGTGAGAGATCCACACTTCTACAATTTTTTTCCATGAACAACTATTTCTTAACTGCTTTCCCAAAAGACCTGGTTGATTTTAAGAATATGCTCCTCTTACCAACCATATTTTGAGAGAAGGAATTTAACAGCGATCAAAAGCTTCACTACTGAAATCAACAGAAAATCAAATTGAACTCTTATGCATCTCAACTCATGTACTGACTAGACTAGAAAGTTATTTGCTCACCCAGTGATGAAGAGTCCGTCTCACCAGACAGAAATCTAAAAATCGTGCAAGAAAATATATAACATCGCAAGAACAGTTTGTAATTCCATCCAGATTATCAACATCAGAGTCTAACATTAACAAATCTTGCAATTCTTTAATTAACACAATTACACCAACAGGGCTATCCCATGGTTTAGGCTGTAATATCTCCACTTGTTCCTGCCATCCTGCCATCTTTTGATTATTCATATGTACACAATGAAGGAGTTCACACCTACAATAGTTTTGCTAGTAAAATAATCACCTGTTATATCAATGTCATTACACACTCAACATATGAAGCACTACATTCCAATCATCATTATATTCTATAATTTAAAGTAAAATTCTGCCTTGCAGATCACTCATGTACATAGGGACCACCTATTTATAGTGAACAATATTGACTGTCCCAACAGCAAATTAATCATGATTTCATGACCACCCATGTAAAAGGACCACCATAAGTCAAAGGTTGCATAATAAAACGTTTGATTATACTTGTTAATTTTAGCTGCACTTCATAAATTGAAAGCAAACATCAATCTCAAATATATTTCAGTTCAGTAAAAGTCTACTATGAAAACTAGATTGTTCAAAATTCAGACTCATTGCAAAATTTAAAGATTATTAAAAAGTATTTGCAATTTAACTAAATTTGGTCTCTAGAATCCCTAAAATTAATACAAAGTTAGAGAAAGTAATCTTTGAAACATTTGTTGTTTATTTCTGTACTTCTTTCGCACCGACATTTAAACATGAAACAACTAATAATTTTCCCAAATACCTGGTCAGGTATAAATCAGCATTAGGGGTATCACCACTGCACTAGGTTTTCTCCTCATCTCTGATTTATGCAATATTGGCACAAACTATGATAAATTTGAGCAGCTGGAAGGAATTATATCAAGACTCCTCAAAACTAGTTTGATTCGGCTTTTTGAGTGTCAGAGAAAGTATGCTTATATCCTTTCCAACTACATTGGATATGAATACAATAGGTCCTTTTGGTGGAAAAAAAGTATATCTAATCCATTAGGACGTCAGTCCTGGTTTCCTTAACCATTTTATTTGTTCTAACTGTAATATTTGTTATACCCCTTGTTTTTTAAAGAAACAAATGGAAATAGGAAAAGTGCACATCCAACAAATGCTCTTGCTTTCCAAAAGAAATTATACTACCTAAATATTACAAAATATTTTAAAATCCAGTAAGTTATTTCTCCTCCTATGAAGATTTGGAATTTATATTTATTTCACAAGTTATTGTAAGGATGAAACTAGACACAGAGTTCAAATTTAAAAATAGACACTAATTTTAATGAATAAAATTATTCACAGAAATTCAGAACCCCAAAATCACTTTCCTACAGTTTTGTTTTCACAGGCACCTTTAGACCATTTTAATCTGCAATTGCAAAGAACTTCACTTTTGATGGTGTCAAACTGGAACAAAACAAATATATGCAGCATTCAGTGCAACTACTGGATTTTGAATTGGCAGCTATAAAAAAAGGTATTTTGAAAACAGTGCTTTTGGAAATACAGTACCTCAGCAATATTGTTTTTGTAAAAACATGACTGGCTAACTATTTTGCCAAGTAACGTACAGTACACATAGCAAGACAGTTGTCTCTTTACAATTTAGAATAACTTTAAATGTTCCGAATCCAATAAGTGCAATCTGGCAGTTGATGTAATCATAAACTACATCTTAAATCCATCATTAATTTTTTTAAGAAATTCAGTTGTGGGCCATGTGCTTTGCTGGCTAGCCAGCATTTATTGCCGGTCAAGTTGCCCTCGAGAAGGTGCTGGTGAGCTGCCTTCTTGAACAGCTGCAGTCCATGTGCAGTAGGTTGACCCACAATGCCCAAAAGGAGGAAATTTCAGGATTTTGACCCAGAAACAGTGAAGGAACAGCAATATATTTCCAAGTCAGGGTGGTGAATGGCTTGGAGGGGAAATTACAAGTGGTAGTGTTCCCATGTATCTACCACCCTTGTCCTTCTAGATGGAAGCTGTGGTGGATATGAAGGTGCTGTCTGTGAATTTCTGCAGTGCATTTTGTAGATAGTACTGCTGCTGAGCATCGGTGCTGGAGGGGGTGGATGTTTGTAGATGTGGTGTCAATCATCTGGGCTGTTTTGTCCTGGCTTGACAAATCTTTATAAAGTTTGTAGAGCTGCACCCAACCAGGCAAGTGAGGAATATTCCATCACACTTCTGACTCATGCTTTGCAGATGATAGGCAGGCTTTGGGGAGTCAGGAGGGGAGTTACTTGCTGCAGTATTCCTAGCCTTTGAACTGCCCATGTAGCTACTGTGTTCATGAGGCGAGTCCTGTTGAGTTTCTGATCAATGGTAACCTCAAGGATGTCAATAGTGGGGAATTCACTTATGGTAACACCACTGAATGACAAGTGGCATTGGATAGATTGTTGCTTTTTGGAAATAGCATTTGTGTGATACAAAGTTACTTGCCACTTTTCAGCCCAAGCCTGGATATTGTCCAGATCTTGTAGCATTTGAACATGTACTGCTTCAGTAAATGATGGGCTGCGAAAAGTGTTGAACATTATGGAATCATTAAAAGGAAATGCTTGACTAGGGCACACTGCAAAATTATTACATCGGATTAGTAAAATATTGGTTATTATTTTATTACCTTGTATGAAGGTAGAAAGCAGAGTACACCCTGAGTAACAACTTGACAAATCTTCAGCAGCATTTCTCCAGCTTCATCCTGAAACCCAAATGTCTCTGTGTGTTGGAAAGTGGCACAGAGTTTTCGTCCATTTGGTCCTGTTCCAACTGTTCCTACCCATACCTAAAGAAAAATAAATAAATAAGTTACAAAGACAACAGTGATGCAGGTATTCAGGTTGGTTTATATTGATGTGATTACATAATTGACTCATTTTTGAGTACATAAGTAACATGGCATGACTTTTATTGTTGATAGCCTCTCTCTATCACATCCACCAACTTCCTTCCTCAGCTCTGAATTTTATTGAAGACTATATTTGTACTACACCCTATAACACTGCATATTAATGGACTAACACCTTGTCCACTGCATAGTTCAACTTCTACTCAAAGTCTTCCCGTCAAATAACAAAGCCGCATGTCTTTCCTTGCTAAGTTTATTTCTTTTCCTTGGAGAACCATCTTGTATTGTTGCCATATTGCTGACCATGTGCCTCAAACACCTGTCTTCAGCACCACTAGAATTAAAAATAGAAAACTGATGGAGAATATGAAGTTGGAAGAATGGTAATGAAATAAGAAAAAGTCATGATCTGGGAAGAGCAGAATAAAATTACTTCGCAAGATCAACAGATGAAAACAGAAAGATCATAATCATCATAAAGAGACATTCAGCTGGAAGCCAGTGAAACCTAATTTGATGAGGATGAGAAAGATTTGGAACATAATATTTAAGAAACAGCTGTGCGTCACTCGTAAAATTTAAATATGTTGAATATGTCATACCATTTATGAAAAACAAAGAAAAGTTGCAATTATTTGCTCCCTCATAGTTAAAAGACTTGGTTAATAATCCAAGACTTAAGTGAGAGTAGTTAAAAACATAAAACAAAACCTTCACTGACATAACAAGTTAGCCTTAAAGACATCTTTTTCATTATATCTAAGACATAATCTGGTTAGGTTTGCTCGCTGTCATGTCAGTTTTTTTTGGATTACCTACATTATTGCCAGAGTCAGCAAAATGTTATTATTCTTTAAAACATATTCAAAAGCTGCTCTAATAGCTTCTGAGGCAAATGCATTGCATGATGTGTACTAAGCAATGCAAATCAAATTGGGTTATATTAAACCCCCAATATGTTGAGTTGTGCATTATCAATGAAAATGCTGTAATTGATTTTGGTGACACTAAGGTAAAGAGGGGTGACATCATTAAGAATTCATCCTTCTAACTTTGTGCTTTCCAGCAGAGGTCACTGTATAGTGCATATTGGAAGTCAGGCCATGACAACATCACTCTTGGCTGGGATGTCTTCTAAGAGTCTAAGTTCATGGACAGAAGAACATCAGGAGCAGGTGAAGTTCATTCAGCCTTCCAAACCTGTTCCATCATTCAATAAGATCATAATTATATTTAACCTCACATACCCGTTCACATGCTCCCCAAACATCTCTTGGCTCCCTTTGTATCTAAAAATGTTGATTTCTTAAGTATACTTAATAATTGAGCATTCACAGCTTTCAAAATTAAGAATTCTCATGAATCACGATGTTCAATTGAAGAAATTTCTCCTCATCTCAATCTTGAATGCTCAATCTCTTAGTCGGAGAATGTCCACCATGAGAAAAGTACTTGAACAACATAACAGACATGCTGCAATTCACAGAAGCATGCATCAGGATCTTTAGTAAAGATGTTGTGAAAATTGTAAGGAAGGGTAGAAGATCTGACAGAGATGGTTACTGCTTGTGAATTTACAGCACAGCATAAACTTCTAGGCTTTATAATTTTAAGTAGTTTTTAAACCAAATGAGGTATAAGTAACAAATCAATCTGTCTTTACAAAATGTTCTTGTAGATTAAGTCTTACTCCATGCACAAAAAAACCTACTAAAAGGTATGTTTGTAGGAATCTATGCACTCCAAAGTTCTTAATATGTACTAAAATTTCATTAAAATTGCTAGGACTTTCAGCAATGAAACAGTTAAGGTATCTACCAGCCAATATATTTTCAAGCATACAAGTGTAACACAAGCTTCTGTACCATATTGCACAGATCCAATGGTAGACAAGTTAAGACATTATGAGGCTAACTGTGTTGCTAATAACCACTGTTAAGTCATAAAGTGGTACTCTAGCACTGATGTTGACTGACAATTTACAGATGTACAGGTAATTTCCCAACTGCTGACATTTAAACTAGAGCTGTAACAAAGTGTGATTTTTATTTAGCTTTGAAGCTCCAATTGTAAAAGATAATGAAGCTTTGGTCACCATTTTGGATTAAGATTACAGCCAGGAAACACAAGATCAGCATCGATGAGAACAGGGTAAATCATGATCATCAAGCACAAAAAAACATAGAAAAAAAACAAAAACATGCTGCAACATGATCTTTGACACTGAATATAGTTTTAAAGCAAAAGAGACAAAAGTATCCTTGATACATTTTAACTTATCCTGAAACTGTGCTCCATTCTTCTAGATTCCCCAACCAGAGAAAACAATCTCTCAATATTTACCACATCAAAACCATTCATAATCTTGATCATTTCAGTGAGCATAACTTACACTTCCTTTTTTTGCTCCTTTGGTGAAAGTATCTCTCTCCTCTAGGTGACCCTTCAGAATAATTAATCACTGCCTGGCTAATTTCCCACGTGGAGGAACCCATAATCTGCTAATTCAACAATGCATCACTGAACCAAGCTTACTACAATCACCCCTTACAGACATACCCTGAAAAATCAAAATAAAACTTTATGATGCAATCATCTGACCTCATACACTCAACGGTATATATTTAAATTAAGATATTTGTGTTATTAAAATTGTAATTTTTGTCTTTTGAAGAAAAGCTTTATTTATTGGGGTTTGGTGATGAGGAACCCAGACTAATTCCACTGAGAGCAACTGATATTCTGTAACAGTTCACCTTCAGAGAAGATTTAATGGATTATTGGCTAAATAAAAAGGGCAATTTTGCCTTTATCATGACTGATCTGAAACTTCAGAAAATTAAAGTTTTTAAGAAGTCAGAATAACTTTTCCACAAATTGATCCAAACTTTTATGTGTTTGTTTATTTCATATATTATCAGAGCGTGTGTATCTGTCCTATTGGTGATAGACTACATGAGTGGATTGCATCACTGCATTCTTCCCTTCACCGTAAAGTGAACTAATAAATAGGGTTGTACAAATGAAAACCTATCCAGCAGGTGTGATTATTGGATCAACTCTCACTGCAAACTGTCCACTCTGATCTGAGCTAGATGTAATTTTAAGGGTATAAAAGTTTTAGAGTTTTAGGCTGGTGTCCCCAAACTACTACTCTTGAAGCATGAGCATAATGTCAGTGACCCTCATCTTATAATCATCAAAAGTGTGCAAGGAGATTCAAAAGGATCCTCTCATTGAATACTTTTAGGATACACCAATGATAAACTTAGAAAATGCCCTTGCTTTTTACGCACAGTTTTGTAATGTAATGAAAGCAGAACATTTTAAATGTAAATTTTAAGAGCATATATCACTCTTTTATTGCCAGCCATGCTATCTGTTCCTGTATTCATTACCTTGGTGGTCTCCCAGTCAACTTTTAAAACCAACATTTTGCAGACAAATGCAATTTTCACCCCTGATTTTCTTTGATCTAACGCAGTATTTATTAATAAGGTTTAAATAAGAGTTAAGTACACCCAGGTTCTGTTCATTATTTCAAGTTAACCAAAGTAAAGAATATTATTAGCAAGGCCTCACCAGATGGTATAATCTCAAGTTAAAAACATAAAACTAATGAAGCCTCAAACATTCCTGTGGTGCATCTACATAATGTAGAACTTTGAACCGATTTAATGAGCTGTGTATGTGGACCATATCCATGCTTTGTTTCTAACTGTTTAACTCTTTCATCCACCTAGTCTCATCTGTACCTAGTCAAATAGATTCTAAGTGGATGAAGTTAGGCATTTATACTTAATCAAGTGTTCAAGGCAGGGGCAGAATCATTTCTGTCTCCACTTAAATTTTTATAAACCACTATTAGATTAATACGAAAATATAAAATTGAAAGAATAATCATTTTCCAAAGTAATCTTTCTCCAGCAAAACAGAATGGAGTATACTTCTGCAGATTGGATAAATTATGTCAGTTAGTCTAGATTGGTTACTTGGAATATTATTTATATTTACAAATACATCTTGACTAATGAAAACTGAACATTTATAGAAGAGATCACTGCTCATAACCACTCATCCTCAACAAACCAACAAAGCTATCCATTAGGAGCCATCATACTCCAAGTACAATGCACTCACTGTCTATTCAATTTCAAATCAAACGTTCAGGAGATTTTCACCAGGCTTTCATTAATTTCCTCAGAATTTTTATTTCCCAACTAGAAAAAAGGGAGGGATCATTGTGTTTGGTCAATTAATAACTGCAGATTTATAATCAAAGTTGCATTTATTTCAGTATAAATGGGTAACGTAGCAAATGTTACCTAAGAAAAGGACAAAAAGTGGGAAAAAGAAATTATAGAATTTGCATATACATAGGACCCAGAAGCATGGGTAGGCCATTTGATCCGCTATTCGGTAAAAATAATGTCTGATCTGGTTATGGTATCATCTTCACTTTCTCGTCTGTACCCCAAACCATTGATTCCCTTGTCTATCAAAAAAACTACCTAATTCAGCCTTGAAAAAGAAACAACTGTCACTAACTTCTGGGGAAGACAGATACAATGCCTCTCACATCCTCAGGCACGACAAGATAGTTATGAATTACACCTACCACAAGAACTAATTGATTGAACAATTCATAAGATTTATGAACTGCAATGAAAATGTAAAGAAAAAAGTATGGGGGAAAAAATCTCAAATACACTTCGTGGCAAAGATGTTTCCCTGCAATATCTATGTCAAATAAACAGCTTAATGTAACCTGGATGTTTCTGTAGATGCCCTCATCACAAATACTCTCAACTTAATAAAAAAGCATATATAAGTTGAGGTTTGCCTCTGGTGATTGAATCACTAGTTGGGAAATAAATAGTGTAGCTCATTACCTGAGAGTTGTCAATGACATGATTAGCCTCCAGCTGAATACTGAATTTTACACCCAGCTCTGAAGAGAATGACTCCATTGGGGACAATGTTCCCGATGTTAGGACAATTGTCCTGACGCTACTGAGATCTGAAAATGCCTAGAAGAAAATGAACGTAACACATTTCAATTTAAGCCTTTATTAATAAATTCAACTGCAAAAACCTTTGCTAGGTGTCTTAAGTAAAAGGAGTAGGATAGCATAATGTCAGGTTAAATCCACCAGTCAGAAAGCTTCTAAGTTTAGTACGCCAACAGTTCTCATTCTGGAAGCAAGAAAGATGAAAAACAAAACGAGCAAAGAGCATGTACGCATAGGTGAGGGAGCAAGAGGAGAGAATGCACACGCAAGGGGAGAGTGCGAGGAGAGAGTTTTTTTTTATTCATTCACAGAATGAGGGCGTCACTGGCTAGGCAGTACTTATTGCCCATCCCTAACTGCCCAGAGGGCAGTTCAGAGTCAACCACATTGCTGTGGGTCTGGAGTCACATGTAGGCCAGACCAGGTTAGCATGGCAGTTTCCTTCCCTAAAGGGCATTAGTGAACCAGATGGGTTTTTCCTACAATCAACAATGGATTCATGGTCATCATTAGATTCTTAATTCCAGATATTTATTAAATTCAAATTCCACCATCTGTCATGGCAGGATTCGAACCCCGGTCCCCAGAACATTATCTGGGTCTCTGGATTAACAGTTCAGCAATAATACCACCAGCCATCACCTCTTCTTGTGTGCACTCACGGGTGAGGATGGAGCAAGAGGAGGAAGCATGAATGCACAGATGTGGGGGAAATAAAAAGAAGGGTGTGTGAAGCACAGGTCAGCGGAGAACAAGAGGAGAGACAGCACAGGTGAGAGGAGAGCACATGCACACAGAAATGATGCAGAGGGAGAATTGAGCGCATGTACACACAGATGGGGCGTTAACAAGAGGAGGCAGCATACATACACGGAAAAGGGGGGACTCAGGGAAGAAACAAATAAGATGGAGATAGCAAGAGTATGAGAGTAGAGTGCTGAGACGGGGGGTTTGCAAAGGATAGTGAAAGTTAAGGGCCAAGCAGTTAGGGGACAACTGAACAGTGCCAGCGATGGGGTGGGGTAGGCGTGGGGGGTGGGGGCTGGGAGACGAGTGGGAATGGAGTGGCAGGATGACTTATTTTGAGGCAGTGCAAGAATGAGCACGAAGGCCTCAGGCAAGATGTGGACAGCAAATTGCCTAGGGCGTGGAGGAGCAAGAGAGAAGGGAGTAGGTGAGGGCACATCGATAGGAGAATGCAGACGAAGACATCGAGATGAGAGAGAAAGCACATGGGAGTTGGGCACCGAGAGAAGCAGCAGGTGGGAGCATGAACACTGACAGGAGGAAAACCAAGTGCACATACAGATATCTGAGAGACGGGTGAGTGCACACAGGGGCATCAAGGGCTGAGTAGATGCGCAAAGTGGGGCAGTGAGATGCTGGGTACACTCACATGGGGGGGGGGGCATAAAGAGTACTGAGCTAGCATACTATGGCTGTCAAGCAGACCTGATGGACATAAGACATACTAGGCAGTCATGAAGACATCTTGAATACCCCCCATTGAGAATACACAGCATCAAAAGGATCGAGCAGGTGCAAGCATGGGCATAACAGGATGAAAGGAGAGCACATGGCATTGTGAAGTGAGCACGTATTAAAATAATGACAGAGTACGTAGCAGGCAGCGAGGAGGTACATTGCATAATACAATTCAGTTATAGGACTCACCACTGCTGGATTTAAACACCAAAAGCTCAGGGTCAGCACAGCTATCTTTTTCCGTGAGCCTCTCCTATATCGAGGGCGTGCAAAGAAACCATTTTCATCAGGAATATCTGGCTGATTGGTCCATGTGTAAGTCTGCTGCACTGCCACCCTATAGTCATCTATAAATCTATAGGAACAATTTATGTCAAAAATATGACTCATCACAGCAACCTTCCCTCAAAAATCCTATTTGTTCTTAATGTACCATTTATTCTTCAAAAGAAAATCCCCGCTTAACAGCATTGTGGATGTACTTGCACGAGACACAGAGTTGCAGTTCAAAAAACATGCTCACCATTCCCTTTCAAGGTCAATGTGGGATGAGCAACAAATGCTTGCCTTGCCAGCAATCCTCACATCTCATGAAAGAATGAAAACAACTTCCTTGAAATAGTTAATAATTCCATACTTAGCCAATAATGTAATGCAATTCACTACCACTAATACCCCAATTCAGAAAACATCTTAAACGAAAACTGGTGTTCAAAATGTGACAAACTTTCTCTTGCTGCAGATGGACTGCTCTTCCAAGGTTCACAAAAATACTTTGAGACAAGAAAACTGCACATGCAGTTTCAGGCTGAAACGTTGACTGCTCCTTTCCTCCAGATGCTGCCTGGCCTTCTGTGTTCTTCCAGCTTCCTGCTTGTCTACCTTTTTCCAGCATCTGCAGTTTTCTTGTCTCTAAATATTTTTGTGAACCTTGGAGGAGCAGTCCATCTGCAGCAATAGGAAGATTGTCACATGGCTGGAAGAACATAGTAGGCCAGGTAATACTGGAAACGTTGACTGCTCCTTTCCTCCAGATGCTGCCTGGCCTTCTGTGTTCTTCCAGCCTCCTGTTTGTCTACCTTCACAAAAATATTTAACCTATAACAATCTTCTGAGATTCTGACATATTACAGCTTTGCATTTCAGGCTTGCACAAAATGTTAACATGCAACAATGATTATCAATTTCACAGGATTAAATGATGCAGTATGGTGATGCCATCTAAGTGCACAATTAACATCATGTGAAGGAAATGATTTTCTTTGCAGTTTTAGAAACTAGATGCTTCAATTACTTAACTTCTTTTGGTCTTTAATTTACCCAAGAACAGGGTTACAAGTATGGTAGATGCTTCAATATGTGCCATAGTAAAAGAAAATGCCACAGTACATAAACAAAATTCCTTGTTTTTTAAAAAAGGGTACTCCAATAGCTTAAGGAATGCAAATACACACAACTACAAAAGAAGTAACAAATTGAATTAAAATTCTTTTTCTGTTCTAACATTGACTTATATCAGACAAGGAGGTTGATTTTTGTCATTTAATGAGTTGCCCTTTCATACAAGGCATTGACCCACAAAACTGTCAAGTGATTATAGCATATGTAATGGAAGTTCCACTATGGTTAGAAATTGTATTTTATAATCAGGCTGTACTCAAATTCAAATAGTCTGAATTTATACAAAGCACAAAACGTTTGTAGAGGGAAAGTTCCAAATAATCATATTATGCGACACATCATTTTAATTGTTTATTTCAAACCACACCTTCTAAAGAGTGAATAGATTCTTTTAAAAAGATTCCAGCACTCACCTATTGCTGTCCCTGAAGAGAAAATCAAGCACCATGAAAAGTCCTTTCAGCATCATCTGTGTTGGTGGACTTACAGTTGGGATTGTTACTGACTCCTGCTGTCCATTCATCATAACTACCTTTTCTTCTTTCTCCAGTACAGCATCCAGGTGCTTCTGCATATCAAAAACTCATTCATATATATAATTTAATACTATATACATCTTGAAGTAACAAAGATTAGAGCAGCTACAGAATAAGTGATGGCATTTGCCCATTAATCATCTACATTAAGTGCAGTCCTTTCAAATGTATAGTACTGTAAAATTGCATTTTAAACAACTGCAGCTGACTGCAAACGTGCAATTTTCCCTCCAGACGTTGCATTCCTAAATATATTCAAGGAAGTGACATCTGTAGAGTAGTATGAATATAGATCCTTGAATCATTCAATGGGTGGAGGTTACCAATCTCAGAAGTAAACCTGAAATGCTGGCTCTATTACTTTAATTATGGAGATACTGAAGCAAGTCATTAATGCTAATTGTATGGCTGAGACCCAAAAAAGCTATTCAGAAAAACTGAACCAAGTTTTAGATTTAAAACAAAATCATATTTTCAAAGCCATATTTTGTTTCTCTTCTTCTCCCTTCATGGTCTTCATATTCCATACTTAATTGAAAGGGGGCAGGATAGGCTCAATCCCAGGTCTTAGCAAATCATAGAACCATAGTAATACCCAAAATCAACTATAAAGTGAAATATAGGAATAACTGAAGAACGCAGTTTGATATCCATCTTTGCAGTGCTGTTAAAATACAAGTAACAGTTTGAACTCTCGAGTCAGCTTTTGGTCTGATCATAAATGGCAGAAATGCAAGACCTTCTCAGGTGCAAATGTCATGAACACTAAAACCCTATGGTGGATTCAAGCCAGGTTTGAAAAAAAGTGTTTAGGTGACCAATTTGTTTTTTTACGCCCTTCATAAATCATTTCTTTTAGTGCTTTATAAAACATATGTACACAAATCTAAAACCATCTATAATACAGTAAACATCTTACTTTTTATCAAGTACTTTGATGCAGTCTACTTGGACTTTCACAAGGCTACTGATAAGGTCTGCATGAGAAACACATAGCAAAGGTAAGAGCCCATGGAATCCAAGGAAATTAGGCTAATTGGATTCAAAATTGTCTCAATGGTAGGAAGCTGAAGGTAAGGAGCAAGAGGCATTTTTGTGATTGGAAGCGTGAAACCACTGGGGTTCCACAGGGATCAGTATTGGTGCCCCTGTTGTTTGCAGTAATATATAAATGATTTAGACATTTAATGTAGGAGGGTTGATCAGTAAATTCACAGATGATACAAAAATTGGTCGCGTGGTAAATAGTGAGGAGGATAACTGTACATTCCAGGAGGATATGGACAGGCTGGTGAGTGGCAAATGGAATGTAATCCAAATAAATGAGGTGATGCACTTGGGCATGATAAACAAGGCAAGGGAATGCATGATGAACAGTAGGACCCTGCGAAGCAGCAAGTATCAGAGGATCTTGGCTCTGTACGCGTTTAGGTTGCTTAAAGTATACGAAACATCTCCAAGTTTGCAGATGATACCAAGTTGGGTGGGATGGTAAATTGTGACGAGGATGCAGCATGATCTGGACAGGTTGGCAGATGCAGTATAATTTGGATAAATGTGAGGTTATTCACTTTGAAAGCAAAAGCAAGGCGGCAGATTACTATCTGAATGATTAAATTGGGAGAAGGGAGTGTGCAGTGGGACCTGGGCATCCTTGTACACCAGTCGCTGAAGGTAAGATGCAGGTGCAGCAGGCGGTAAAGAGGCAAATGGTACGTTGGCCTTCATTGCGAGAGGTTGAGAGTACAGGAGCAGGGATGTGTTGTTGCAGAAACACAGAGCCTTGGTGAGGCCATACCTAGAATATTGTGTGCAGTTTTGGTCTCCTTTTCTGAGGAAGGATGCTCTTGCTGTCAAGGCAGTGCAGTGTAGATTTACCAGGCTGATTTAGGGAACGGTGGGTCTGAGATACGAGGAGAGATCGACTACGTTGGGATTGTTTGCACTAGAGTTCAGACGAATGAGGGGGTTCTCATAGAAACTTATAAAATTCTAACAGGACTGGACAGGGTGGGTGGATGTTCCCCATGGTGGGTGTGTCCAGAACCAGGGGTCCCAGTATGAGGATTTGGCGTAGACCATTTAGGACTGAGATGAGGAGACATTTCTTCACCCAAAGAGTGGTGAGCCTGTGGAATTCATTACCACAGGAAGTAGTTGATGCCAAAACATTGAATGTATTCAAGAGGCGACTACATATAGCACTTGGGGCAAATGGGATCAAAGGTCATGGGGAGAAAGCAGGATTAGGCTATTGAGTTGGACGATCAGCCGTGATCGTGAAGAATGACCGAGCAGGCTCATGGGGTGAATGGCCTCCTCCTGCTCCTATCTTCAATGTTTCTATGTTAAAATGATTAAGTAGGCATATGGGGTACTTGCCTGAGGCATAGATTTTAAGAGCAGTGAGGGTATGCTGAAACCGTACAAAACGTTGGTTAGACCACAGTTAAAGTATTGTATGCAACTCTGGAACACATTACAGGAGGGATATGATTGCATTGGACAGGGTGCAGAGGAAATTTACCAGGATGTTGCCTAGGCTGGAAAGTTTTAGTTGTGAAGAAACACAGATTGGAGTTGTTTTCCTTGGAGCAGAGGAGAAGGAGGTGATACGTGATTGAGATGTATAAAATTATGAGGGGCACAAATACAATACGCAGGAAGGAACTTTCCCCCTTGGTGGGGGTATCAATGACTAGGACAGCATACATTTAAGGTTAGGGGCAGGACGTTTAGAGGAGATGTGAGGAAAACCTTTTTCATCAGAGGGTGGTGGGAATCTGGAATTCACTGCTTGTAGGGTTGGTAGAGGCAGAATAAGAAGTATTTAGATGTACACTTGTGATGCCAAGGCATACATGGCCATGGGCCTGATGCTAAAAGAATGGGATTTGAATAGTTAGATGATTGTGCCAGCCAAAAACAGACTTGATGGGCCAAAAGGCCTTTTTCTGTGCTATTGACCTCCATGACTCTATGACCTTAACCTCTGTGCAGCACCTTCAGGGAGGAAGGAGGCTGCAATTACAATGTAATAGGTTCTCCATGACTGGTGTAAACATTGGAAGTCATAATGCATGTTTAAGAATAAGGAGGCCGGATTACATCAACAGGCTCAGTTCAACTATTCTTTCAGTTTCTAACCTGGCTAGAGCGAATATTGTATCTCAAGTCATGTGTCCAAAGTGATAGGAAATCAACAAGTTAAAAATGAAAAATGAATGCAATGCAGAGAGCTCTGGTAGGCAGAATACAGCTCATAGCTGCATTGCAGCTCTCTCTGCCAGCTACAAACTACAGTTGGCACATAACAATTTAACCAGATTTTTTCTTTACTCATTGTGGGAAACTCCTGGATGCTATCTGGAGGTTTCTCCAGTAGAACAGAAACTCAGAAGTCTTTACCAATCGTTAGTGGTCCTAAAACTAGCTCATCTCTTCACTGCTTGAATCTTTAATCCTTTGGATTTTATACTGAATTCCTAGCTAGCATTCAGTCAGTTTATCATAGGGGAAGCAAGATAAAGTGTGAAGCCTTGTTACTCTTATTAAATAACCAATTTACCTGTAAAATGGAAAATGTAGCACCGGTTAATCCCCATTTATGAAAAACATTTAGCATTTCCTTCCCGTTCCAGACCCTGCAAGATGTTTCATATTCCTTTTCCACCAGATTCCCAGAACACTCCTTTAGCCAGCTACAAATAAGAAATTTATATAATTAGCTTTTCATGAGGTAGAACCTATGTGAATGTTTTATAAATCTTAAACTGAAACAATTTTCATCCTAACCAGAGAAATACTGCCAGTTGACTAAAATGTCATGTCAGAATCACGTGCAAATAATGCAAGAAACCAAAGCATACTTAAGCAAAATAGTGTCAAGTGAAACTGTGGGAGAACGCTTTCTAGCCCCTGAACAACATGGACAATGGCAAGTCAGTTGGCAAGATGCAAAGAGACTGGAAAGATGAAGCTCTCAATTTCAAAGAAAAAATGTCAGATTCTGCAACTAGATTTTCAATGGAGAGAGGAGAATCTTGCGAAAGACCTATTTGCGTGTTCATTACAACCTAATTGCAACTTACTGATATGCAGTTTTGTATTCTCCCAAAGACCGGATAAAAGCTAAATGGTGACAATTCCCAACATTAAAGTCAAAGCAGTTCTTGCGGTACCAGCTTGTCACTTGCTCCTCCAGGCCTCTATCTTGGGCAGAGGTTCCCAACATCTCAGATTGCATTCCATGGTAGCAACCACCTGCAACACTCAAACCCCATCCACGAAAGTTAGCACTGGACACCCACCAGCCTCACCACATCACCACTGCACATCTCCAACCCATTCAGAATACAGCTCTCTACTTCAATGCTGCTGTCTGGACAGACAAGCACCCACCTCATGGATTGAGCAGGAGTGCTTCCCAAGGCTCCTCATTAAGCACTCACTCCCTTTGTTCAGGCTTGGATGCTCAGGGGATCTTGGACTTGCCTTGCCTTTGTGTGCTTTGCCACCTGCTTCAGAACTTAAATGCTCATAGTACTTCTGCATTGCATTGCTGACTAGCACAGACACAAATCCAGTCGTGGTTGAAAGCAGTGATCAGTCAAGGGATGAACATGTTGTTATAAGGTGCAATGTCAATGTCAAAATTAACCATTGTCCCAGCAGTTTATGTGGCAAACACACTGTATGTGGAGTTAGTCCGGGCAAACGGTCATGGACAGTCAAAGGCAGCATCCAATCTCAGTACAGGGATTTGGACACAGTCCTTCAGCCAGCTGGGGTGGTCAGGATCAGGGGTTCTACATCAATGCATTTCGGGGAATGGGCCATGGGGGAGGCCTACAGTTCCAGTGCAACCAGTCCAGGGATTCACAATAGGTCAGTCAGGGAGCTGCACAGAAATTAGTCATGGATCTGGTCCCTCAATAGTTGGGGTTGTCTATTCAGCTTTCACAGGGTATTGGGCCACGGTCAGTCCTGGGGTCAGCCCAATAAATGTCAAGATTTATTAGATGCTAGTATTGTACAAGGGATGTCGGCAAACCAATTCTGGGGACTGAAGGCAACATGCGGAGGGGACAATTGTGAAGGATATGCAAATCAATATGTAAGGATAGGAAGCGATAGTGCTTTGGAAGACCTAGGTTACTGCAGGGGAAGGGATTTAATCATCAGTCACAATCACCTTGGCATTGATGGGGCAGGGGCAGGGGCGGGGGGGGGGGGGGGTGGTGGTGAAGTGATGGTGCAACACAATGGTTGGCGTAGCTGAGGTGTAGGGCCAGGGCCCCAGGGTAAAGTTGGGTGATTGAGACATAAAAGAATCAGGTGAGAATATGTGGAAGCTCAGAACTGAAGTGGTCAACAGGGATTGCAAGGAAGAAAGAAACACGGAGGTTTGGAGTGGGGGAAAGGAGGAGTCCTTGATTACCAGGGCCTCTCTCTGCCAAGCGCAACCTGTATTGCCATCTATTCTTCGGCAAATCGTAAATGCACAATGAAATGGAAAATGGCTGCAATCACTCCCAAAGTGGATGGAGGACATTTATGTCTCCCTTATCTGAACACGAGCTCTACTTGAGAGGAACGTGAGGTTAATTAACTGAATTAATCAAGCACTTACGCAGTACATATTGAACGCATCTGTAATCATTGTACCCTGCATATGAAACATATGCAGCAACCAACTGTGCAGGAAACTAAACAAGAATAAAAAGAGCTGCAGATGCCGGAAATCAGAAACTGCTGGAAAAACTCAACATGTATGGCAGTATCTGTGAAGAGAAAGCAGAGTTAATATTTCAGGTCTAGCGACTCTTCTTCAGGACACTTCTTTCGGTCACTGGACCCGAAACGTTAACTCTGCTTTCTCTCCGCAGATGCTCCTGGACCTGCTGAGTTTTTCTAGCAATTTGTTTTTGTTTGTGTGGCATACTAAGCCTGGTTGCAAGCAAACTTGACCGTGTCACTAGTGATTAGAATCGCAGGCTATCTTAAAAGTGGCACCATGATCTATAATTCACAGTTGGCACTTTATTTTTCTTTTTGAAGAGAAAGGTAGTAATAAACATATACCAGTAAATCCTCTGTAAGGTAATCATGAATTGCGAATTCGCCTACCGCGCCAAAAATAATTAACAACAAAAATTAATATCCGCAGACAAAGCTCGTGTATCTGTGATTTTTAATGAGCTCTGCACTTGCAAATTTCATCATTTGCAGGGGTTCTCAAGAATGGAATCCTCGGGGATAAGAAGAAATGACTGTAGGTGTATTTGTCATCCACAATACTGTACGACGCATATCTTACAGCTTAAGAATAATAGATACAAATGAAATAATCATCATATTATATAACTTATTAGTTGCTACAGTTAAGAGTGATCAGAATGCAATCATCTGATACACAGGATGAGACAGCAGAGCCTAGTAATCACTGCAACATATACTGTTTTGAACAATATATACACTATGGATTTTGTGGCAATAGTTTTATTCAATTTTTGCTTTAAGAAGAACGGTGATAAACTGTTCCAATGTTCCAAGTAGCTAAAATATACTCTATACCGAAAGCTCAACAACCATAGCTTACTCAATCCAATTTTATTAAGCAAAAGCAGTTAAATAAAATTAGTACAATTAATAAATAAATATATAGACTTGTTACTTACTTGGTAAAACTATAGCAGACTGTACGCAGTGCATCATGATCATTTCTCTTGATATTTTGGTTGACCATGCAATCCAGTTCTTCTCGAGCAAATAACAGCTGTTTCTCTGTGACACTAAAGCTAGATGACTCCCGTGCACAGTCTTCAATATTATGTGCTTCATCAAAGATAACAATTTGATCTTTCAAATTGATCTTCATCTATCAGGAAAGCAGAAAAAAGCAGAAAAAGCAATAGTGATGCTCTAGTACAATATGGTCCATGGGGAACATAAAATTGTTTGATAAATAGTTTACAAAAACACTTACACTCTCCCTTATCTGTGGGTCCATTAGATAGTTGTATGGACAGAATACAATGTCTGCCTCTTGCATCAACTCACGAGATACAAAGTATGGGCATGAACGAAGCTTCTTTCCAAGGCTCACCAACTCTTCAATGTCCCAAGCCAAATGCATACCATGAATCCACTGTAAAGTTTTCTGTTCATTCATTTTATGGACGCCATGATAGTAACGACATGATTTCCCCTATTAGGAAAATAATTACAAAATTCTAATTTTCAGAGATGAATGAAAATATCATTCCAAATAGTAAAGAATAAAAAGATGCAGCACTTCAGCAAGAACTAGTTCACTCATTAAAAATGAGATGAAGTCAGCTAAATTGAAAATTAAACATGGAAAATAAACAACATGTCCACGTGTGGCCAATCATTTAAAAGGACATCAGATAATACCATTTATTAAAAAAAATTCTACTTCTCTTACTTTACTGGTAGGCTGTCTTCACGGTGCTTTAGTTGAGGATTAGAAATTTAAAATGCTGCATAAATACATGTGTTGGGACAGACAGAAAAGCTAATTACAGAACACCAATCCTGATATGTTTCTAAAGGAGCCACAAAATCAACTAACCCACTTGATACTGACTGACTTTACATGAGTGCTTTAAACTTTTGCTTCTATAATGGAGAAACATGTTGCTTGTAGGACACAGGCATATCACTACTGGTCTTGAAACAACTGGAAATGGATCCAAAATAGCACTAAAGCCTGTGAGCCACAACTGGAAGATAGCCAACAGAAGGCAGTCTACATCAGAGTTAATTGGTGCAGGTTACAGAAACTAGAGGGTAGAGATGTATGGGAAGCTAATGGGATGAAAGTAAACAAGAGGACACAAGTGTTGAGAATGTGAACAGATGACTAAAATCAAAGCAGTATACACAGCATGGTTTATTGGAGTTGGCTGTGAAGACTTAAGCTGATGGATGTCAGATATAATGGCAAGTTTCTATTTTGATTTCAGATCAAACTTACCCTGTTGGCCATCCGGTTTCGAATAGAAAACTCTGCTATCCTCCACAATCATATAACTAGGGATCTTTGCTTGGAAAGGACTTCAATTACGTATTGGAAGATGACAGTCTTCATTTTGATTAAAAGATATCACCATTAACTACCATTTTTATTAATAATGTTAGTATTGTTTCCAGTTAGATCAGATTTTAAGTAACAAAAATTTAGCTGCAAGTAACAGGAACTCTCAAAGAAAGAAACAGATGTATCTTCCAGATATGTGTCTTCATTCCCAAACTGCATTGCAGCTTTTTCATTTACATTATGCTAAAGTCAGTAAACCTAAATCATAACCAAGTGAGGATCTTTACATCCACCGAAGCAGGCAGACAGGACCATGGTTTAATTTTTCTTCCAAAAGTCAGTATCTCATACAATAAAGTGCGCTTCTCCAGTCTGCATTGAAGTGTGAACCCCAATTACATATTCAGGTTCTGGAGTGGGGCTTGTCCTTTTTAATCTCAGAGGCTGTTTCTACCACCATGTCAATGATAAATTTTCATGAAAGGTTGAAAAGTACAGAATTATTTTTCATACACCTAGAATAAACTTGTTGTAAAATAATATCAAAAGCTTCAAAATCATGTTAATACTTTTCTACGTTCTCATTTGCTGTGAACAGATCAAGAATTAACATAGAGCTGAATTTTATCAAACATCAGCTAAGTGTCACAGTAAGGAAGTTTTGTGAAGGGTTTCTCTCCACTACCTGGGAAACCCCAATTAGGCACTGATGGTTTATGAATAAATCCTGCGCGAACCACGTGGCGGGAATATTTGCAAACATCTTTAACTTCTCCTTACGACAGGTTCCCACCTTTCAAGAAAACCACTATCATCATGGTGCCAAAGAAAAATCAGGTAACGTACCTTAATGACTAGCCCCCATGAAGTGCTTTGAAAAGTTAGTAATGGCACACATCAACTCCAGCCTCCCAGATTGCCTTGATCTGCTGCAATTCGCCTACCATCACAATAGGTCCATGGCAGACACCATCTCCCTGGCCCCACACTCATCCCTGGAACATCTGGATACCAAGGATACTCAAGTCAGGTTCCTATGTATTGAGTTTACCTCCACTTTCAACACCAAAATTCCAACAAAACTCATCTCCAAACTTCGAGACCTAGACTGTGTTCCCCACTCTGCAACTGGATTCTTAACTTCCTGACCCATAGACTGCAATCAGTAAGGAGAGGCAACAACACCACCTCCACAACAGCATGAAATATCGGTGCCCCGCAAGGTTGCATTCTCAGCCCCTTACTATACTGCTTATACACTCATGATTGTGTGGCCAAATTCAGGTCTAACTCCACTTACAGATTTTCTCACCATAATGGGTAGGATCTTAAAACAATGATGAGTCAGAATACAGAAAGGAGATAGACAGCTTAGTGGCATCGTGTAAAGACAACAATCTCTCCCTCAATGTCAGCAAAACGAAGGAGCTAGTCAACGACTTCATGAAGCGGAGTAGAGGACACGCATGTATCAATGGAGCTGAGGTGGAGGTAGTTGAGAGCTTCAACTTCCTAGGAGAAAATATCACCTACAATTTATCCTGGTCTATGCACGTCAATGCTACGGTCAAAGAAGCACACTAAGACCTCTACTTCCTCAGAAGGCTAAGAAAATTCAGCATGTCCACAATTTTTATAGAAGGACCATGAATGGACCTCACATATATTAGAGTTGATCTTTCTTGGCACCTTCTCTGTAGCTGTAACACTATGTTCTGCATTCTGTTCTATTACCCTGATATACTTATGTAAGGTATGATTTGTCTGGATAGTACACAAAACAATACTTTTCACTGTATCTTGGTACATGTGACAATAATCAAATCAAGTTTTTTCTCTTCGTGCAAAGAGGTGCTTTCTGTTTTCTTATTTGTTAAATCACCTATGTTTCTGGCAGATACTCAATCCATAGGTAGATAGTTGCCCTTTTTTTTCATTGAAATGAAACTAGTGAGTTAAATCTTCTGAGTTAAAAACTTGCATGGACAGAAAAATAAAAGTTGGTGTTACTTCACAGATGTAACTGTACATATATAGATGGATCATAATGATGGCCCATATTGGTAAGTGGGAACAGACACTCCATTATTTTAACAGAATGAATGAAAGTAATAGACATTTGTACTCATCAAGGTAGAGCACAATAGAATGAGAAGAGGCAAAACTTTTCATTTCTTATCCAGTGCCAGTATCAAGTGCTCACTGTTCAAACAGAGAAACGGTATAACATAGACAAATATAGTGTTTAACTCCCTCTTGTGACACGGAGAAAGATCATTCCTAACTTCAAGATGCTACCGTTCTTTCAAGAAAAGTATAAAGTATTTTTGCAGGAACTTCAAAACTCCATTGTACAAAGGAGGAAAGTAACATTTTGATACACATTTTTTTAAACTTTATTGTTTTAAAATCCAATAATATTAACCAGAATATACACCTTCAGAAGGATGCCCTCTGATCAAATACGTAAAGATCCATAAAAATATACATTAAACTTAAAATCTTGACATGGCTCTTGTTTTAGCCCAAATGCATCTTCCTAACACTAATTAATGAATAATTCAGTAATCTCATATTTCTATGTTAATTGCAAGTAGACGTTAAGCAGAATGCTGCTGTATCCCCATCCTGTGTGGGGAGGGTGGGAAGCAGATGTTTTAAAGATAACACCTTCCGTAAGTTCACACTGTAAATTCCTTGATTGGAAATAGTTACTAATTTGACTAGCTATCATAGGTTATTTTCAGATTGATAATAGGGGAAATAGTTTCAGGCTCAAACTAAAAGATCAGTATGAAAATTTTAAAACTCAAATTAAGAACCAAGTCATTAAAATTGAGATGCCGGAGAGATGATGCGCTGTACCTGCATGACGTGGGAGCTGGTGGACACCATTGTGATTCATAGTGACCACATCTGTAGCCAAGTGTTGGTTGCTTGAAGAACTCATGCTCAGAGTTAATAGGCTGAAGTCTGAGCTTCAAACACTGTGACTCACCAGAGAGGGAGAGAGTTACCTGGATGTGGCGTTTCAGGACGCAGTCACTGCCCTTAGATTAATCACTTCAAATTCAGTCAGTGAAGGTGTGACTATCAGCAAGGCAGGTAGAGGTATCCAGGAGGTAGTGCTGAAGGAGCCTCCGTCCTTGAGCTTATCGAACAGGTTTGAGATTTTTGCTCCCTGTGTGGCTGAGAGTGGGGTCTGTAGGGAGTTTGAGCAAACTGACCATAGCACCCTGGTACAGGGAGCCATTCAAGAGGGGAGAGAAAAGGGAACTGTACTAGTTATTGGGGATAGTATAGTTAGGAGAATAGACATTGTTCTCTGCGATCAGGATTGAGAGTCCCAAAGGCTGTGCTGCCTCCCTGATGGTTAAGGATATCCATCTGGGCTGCAGAGGAACTTGGTGTGAAAGGGGAAAAGTCCAACTGCCGTGGTCCATGTAGATACCAATGGTATCAGTAGAAAACGAAAAGAGGTTCTGATAACAGAATATGAGCAGCTGGGGCTAAACTAAGTAGCAGAACCAAAAAGATAATAATATTCAAAATTACTACTGGAGGCATGAACAAATTGGCACAGGGTCAAAAAGATCAAAGACGTAAGCAAGGGGCTCAAAGATTGGTGTGGGAGAAATGAGTTCAAATTCACAGGACATTGGCATCAGTACCGGGTAAGGAGGGAGCTGTTCCGATGGAATAGGCTCTACCGGAATCATGCTGGGACCACAAAAATCTTCAAATCACATAACTAGGGCTGTTGTGAGGGCTTTAAACTAAATAGTTAAGGGTGGGATGTGGTTAAGTTGCATGGAAAGTTACGGAAAGAGTTGGAGGTTTTAGTCTCAGCAGAGGTTAAAGTTTCCAGAACAAATAATATGAGAGAAAGTATGGAAAGGGTCAGGAAAATAACCTTCAGGCATGGCAAATAAGAGGAAAACTATGAGAAGGAAGGCAGTCAACACAGGGCTGAGGATAACAAGGTGTACAGCTGGATGAACACAGCAGGCTAACCAGCATCAGAGGAGCAGGAAAGCTGACGTTTCGGGCCCAGGCCCTTCTTCAGGAATGGCGGAGGGGAAGAGGATTCAGGCAGAAGGCAGACAGTAGGGAAAAAGGAGTTATTTTCAGGATGACAGCCAGTA